CACTACTAGCTTGTTCCACGTACAGGCCAAGCATGGGTGCATGGGTACAGATCATTCTCAGTCAGGGAGACACGGGAGCCACCAGCATGTGCAGGATCTGCCTCTAGGTGACCTCTGGGTGGGCCAAGGGGAGATGGGCAGCGCACCAATAGCATCTGCTACAGGTGGCTTAACTAGACTCACCCACGGATTTGGCCAAAGGCCATATGTTAAATCCCTATAGCACTGACTCACGCTTCAGGATTTAGTTACAGTTTGTACTGTTCTCACGTGTCATAGTCATGTCCCTCCAACTGGAGTGTAAATTTCCTGGAGTCAGAGATGATGTCCTCTCAGCAGCCAGTAATGCTAGGCACACAGCAGCCACTCATTACCACGCAACTGATTATCCAGTGTAGAAGTAGCAGGTCCCCTTGGCCTTCATCAAAGACCAGACCTAAGCCATCCTGAACCGAAAAGAAACCTGCCTCGGTCCAAAGCTGTTCAGAGAGATGATGCCTATAAGCCGTCTGGATGATCCAGTCCAATATCCAGTCCAAAAGTGGATTCCACCTTGATGTTTAACCTACAGCTACACAACCACCAAGCACAGTACACAACCTAGTGTAGCAGAGAGGTTAAGAATGCTGAAGACAGGACAACGTAGTGGCTAAACACACAGACTTTGGGTCAGATGGCCTGAGTTCGAATTGCAACTCTGCAACCAAAATGTTTAACCTTGGGCAAGTTGCTTACCTTCTTTGCGCCTCGGTTTCCTGTAAGTCTGTAAAACGGAGCCTAATGCTAGTGCCTACTTCAAAGAACAGCGGCTGGCACAGGTAAATATTATCAAAGTGATTATTAAATAACATGACTACTCTTAGTTGGAGTTCTGAAAGACAATAACGAACTCCTATTTAGCCCTTTCCAGATCCCAAAACACTTCATTCAGAAAAACCTTTGCATATGCAATGTTAAATGTTATATGTCAATAAAGCTGGAAAAAGAAACAGAGAAAAGAAAAAGAAAAACCTTTGCCATCATGGAGGTTCTTTTTTTTTCTTTTCTTTTTTTAAAACATATATTGAGCCTTAACAAGAGCCCAGGGCTTCCCTGGTGGCGCAGTGGTTAAGAATCCACCTGCCAATGCAGGGGACACAGGTTCGAGTCCTGCTCTGGGAAGATCCCACATGCCGCGAAGCAACTAAGCCCATGCGCCACAACTACTGAGCCCACGTGCCACAACTACCGAAGCCCACACACCTAGAGCCCGTGCTCTGCAACAAGAGAAGCCACAACAGTGAGAAGCCTGCGCACCACAAGGAAGAGGAGCCCCCGCTCGCCGCAACTAGAGGAAGCCTGTGCACAGCAACGAAGACCCAACACAGCCAAATATAAATAAATAAAATATTTTTAAAAATAAAAGATAAATAAATAATGTTTAACAAAACAAAAAAACAAGAGCCCACTGGGGGAGCTCAGGATTACACCCATTTTGAAGATGAGGAAATAGAGTCCCATGTCAGTCTACTGGCAAATAGAGATCATACAAATAGCAGGTGGCAGGCACGGGGAGGGCTCTAACTCTAGATCTCACCACCTTTCTACTATATCATGGGGCACAGTAATGTTTCAGCCAATTCTTTAAGACTGTGGCTCTCTGAGAATGCATCAGCATCACCTGGAGGGATGGTTAAAGCACAGACTGCTGGACCCCACCCTCAGAGTTTCCAATTCAGCAGGTCTAGGCTGGGCCTGAGAATCTGCACTTCTAAAGAGCTCCCAGGTGATGCTGATGTTGCTTGTCTGGGGGCCGCACTCTGAGAACCACTGCCTTAAGAAATCAATTCATCAGAGAGCCAGAGCAAGAAATACATTCAGTGACCTTAGCATCCACACAGGTTTTCCCTACTCAGGCTGGTTTCAGAGCCATGAAACTCTCAGGTTTACCTGCCCCATTTTCATAATTTTTTTTTTTTTTTTTTTGCGGTATGCTAGCCTCTCACTGTTGTGGCCTCTCCCGTTGCGGAGCACAGGCTCCGGACGCGCAGGTTCAGCGGCCATGGCTCACGGGCCCAGCCGCTCCGCGGCATGTGGGATCTTCCCAGACCGGGGCACGAACCCATGTCCCCTGCATCGGCAGGCGGACCCTCAACCACTGCGCCACCAGGGAAGCCCCCACAGTGGTGTCTTAATGCCCCAAGGAGATGATGTGTCTGAGCACAGTTTACATGAACATCACATGGCCATAAAAGAATTTGTATCCCATGATATATATCTGGAGGAGTTTTCTCTCCCTACTTATGTCTTCTGCCAGTTGTGTAGGTAGTGGTATCGTCTCTGAACCAGTCACATCAACATCACCTGAGAACTTGTTAGAAATGTCAATTCTCAGGGCCCGCCCCAGAGCTACTAAATCAAAAACTCTCAGGGAAGGACCCAGGAATCTGGCTTAACAAGCCTTCCAGGTGATTCTGATGCATACTCAAGTTTGAGAACTCTGGTTTTGCGGTTAGGAGCACAAAATTCCAAGTTGGGTACAATTCCTAGCTCGGCCACTCCCTTGAGCAAGTTACTTATCTCTCTAAGCCTCAGTTTCTTGATCTGAGAAATGGTGCTAAGACTAGGATCTCCCCTTAATAGATTTGGTTGAGCAGCTTAAGAGAGTGGATGTATATACAGCACATAGGAACCCAGCACGTTGTACGCAGTCAATACACATTTAGCTCTTATTTCTTTGTGTAAAGTATCATGGCTTCTTGACAATATGCCCCAGTGCCTACTTTTGAAGGACTGTCAACTGTGTTTTTTTGTTTGTTTGCTTGCTTTTTGCGGTACGCGGGCCTCTCACTGTTGTGGCCTCTCCCGTTGCGGAGCACAGTCTCCGGACGCGCAGGCTCAGCAGCCATGGCTCACGGGCCCAGCTGCTCCGCGGCATGTGGGATCCTCCCGGACCCGGGCACGAACCCGTGTCCCGTGCATCGGCAGGCAGACTCCCAACCACTGCACCACCAGGGAAGCCCTCAACTGTGTTTTAATCTGTTGCAAGTTTTCCATTTAGTTTGTGTGCATCTGTGTGTGTCTGTTGTATTTATGCTGTTGTTTGCTGCTAGTAGATATTTGCTTTATCCAACAAAGATTCCTTGGTCTTGCAACTCTCTTCTAAATAAGCAAGGTATTTCTCTGTATGTCCTTAATAATGTCTTCTTAAATACTGATTTTTTATATTTGCATAGCACTGTATTCTTTTGGCAGTTGTACTCAAAGATATTGCAGCCCTGGGGTTTCTGGACTTTTTATCGCCTTCCTCAGGTACGTTTTCCCATTCTCACATAAGCTTCTAAGGATCCTCTTTTCTGAAATGGATGCTGCTTCATTAGGGTGATTCTCTATCTCCCTTAAATTTCCATGCAGAAGTGCCTTCGAGTAGGTACTTTTAAAAACAAATAGGGGCTTCCCTGGTGGTGCAGTGGTTGGGAGTCTGCCTGCCGATGCAGGGGACACGGGTGCGTGCCCCGGTCTAAAACTATAAAGTTCTTAGAAGAAAAATAGGGAAAAATCTTCATGACATTTCTTGGATATGACAGCAAAAACACAGGCAATAAAGTAAAAATAGACAAATTGGACTTCATCAAAATTAAAAACTTTTGTGCATCAAAGAACACTATTAAAAGAGTGAAAAGGGACTCCCTGGTGGCGCAGTGGTTAAGAATCTGCCTGCCAATGCAGGGGACATGGGTTTGATCCCTGGTCCAGGAAGATCCCACATCCTGTGGAGCAACTAAGCCTGTGCGCCACAACTACTGAGCCTGTGTGCTGCAACTACTGAAGCCCGCGTGCTCTAGGGCCCGTGCTCCACAACAAGAAGAGCCACCACAATGAGAAGCCCGCACACCACAATGAAGAGTAGCCCCCGCTTGCCACAACTAAAGAAAGCCCATGCACAGCAACGAAGACCCAACGCAGCCAAAAAAAAAGTGAAAAAACAACTCACAGAAGGGGGAAAATATTTGCAAATCATATATATAATAAAGGATTAGTATCCTGAATATATAATGAACTCCTAAAACTCAATGACAACAGAAAACCCCAAACAACCCAATTCAAAAATGGACCAAAGATTTGAATAGTCATTTCTCTAAAGAAGATACACAAATGACTAATAAGCACATGAAAACATGTTCAAAATCACTAACCATTAAGGAAATGCAAATAAAAACCACAATGATACCATCTCACATCCATTATCAAAACAACAGAAAATAACAAGTGTTGGTGAGGACATAGAAAAATTGGAATCCTGTGCCTTGCTGGTGAGAATGTTAAATGGTGCAGCCTCTGTGGGAAACAGTTTGGCAGATCCTCAAAAAGTTAAACACAGAATTACCATATGACCCAGCAATTCTGCTCCTAGGTATATATACCCCAAAGAATTGAAAGAAGGGACTCAAACGGATACTTAAACACCAATGTTCATACCAGCATTATTTATAATAGCCAAAAGGTGGAAATAACCCAAATGTCCATCAACATTGAAGAGATAAACAAAATATGTACATACAATGGAGCATTATTCAGCCTTAAAAAGGAATGAAATTCTGGATCATGTTACAACATGGATGAACCTTGGAAACATGCTAAGGGAAATGAGCCAGGCACAAGAGGATGAATATTGTATGATTCCTTATACTTACATGAGGTACCTAGAATAGGCAAAATCATAGAGACAGAAATAACAGAGGTTACCAGGGCCTGGGGGGAGGGGGGAAGGGAGGTTATTGCTTAATGGGTACAGAGTTCCTATTTGAGATGATGAAAGTGTTCTGGAACTGGATAGGGGTGATGGTTGCACAAAACTGTGAATACATTTAATGGCAGGTGAATTATATACTTAAAAATCGTGAAAATGGTAAGTTTTATGTTTTTTTTTTACCACAGTAAAACAATCCCAAATAAACACACACACACACACACACACACAGATAAAATAGGAAAAAGATGAAGGAAAATGGGCACCTTACCTTCCAGGGATGTAACCACAGTGACATGAAGACAAATGATGACAAGGAATATCTTGAACGTCAGTAAAAGTTCCTCAGGTCTCCCAACATGGCCACACTGCCTGCCAGAGAAAAGCATCCTGGAATAAAATAGGGGGACACATCATCACAGCTTTGCCGTAATCACGACACAACAATGCCCAAAAGGCCAGTTCCTCAAGCAAGACAACCTGCAACCTGCTTCCTTTAAATTACTCTAGTCCAGAGAATTGGCAATGCCAGGTGGGCACTGGCTACAAAAAGCAAAACCCATGTTTATTACGGGAGGCCCATCCAGTGGGATATTATAATAAAAATGATAAGCAAGGTAGTCCATGTAGATTTATGGAAAACATCAACACATGCAAAATATCAAGAAAAGAATTTAAAAACACAAAATGCTGCGTATATATAATGATTACCACTACATAAAGGCTGGTTAAAAACTATGCTAAGAATCAGAAGAGGTCACAGAATCTTATAAATGATCTATCCCATTTATGTCATACCGTAAAAGGATGGGTGTGTTGCATTTCCTCTTTATTGTATGTTAATTCATTATCATCGCTTACACTTTTAGTAGTGGGGAGGGCAGAGTCAACATTTTTTAAAAAGCGAAGTTTATATCAATACTGAATTTTTAAGTCTCATTTACCATTCGTTTATTCATTTCGTTCCAACGAATAATCATCAAGGGCCAATATATACCAGATGAGATGTGTGGGTTAACTAGGCAGCAACTAGATGAAATACACATGGGGGAGGTGGGGAAGAGGCTGAGAGGAGCTCGGCACGTGGAGAAAACTGCAGATGCTAAGGCTGCGTCCGTTCCTCTCCCGATGGAGGAGTTGGCCAACGGAAGCCCGTGACAGGCAGTCAGCACCAGCAGCAGGCGCTGGCGGGGGATACTGAGGGAGGAAGAAGCCAGCGAGGAAATCACACGCCACCCACGGGGCTCGGGCAGTGAGAGCCCACGGAGCAGGCTCCTTCTACATGGCCACAGGGGAAGGGGCTGGGACAGACCAGGCCGCGTGTTCTCAGCTGGCAGAGCTCCTGGCCACAGGGCATCCAAGCACCTAGCCACCACCGCAGCTTCTGTTGGCCTGAGATAGAGTGTGCAGGCACCGCGGTGAAGGCTAAAGAGCATGGGATCAAAGGTCCTGGCTCTGCCACACAATGTCTGAGTGACTCTGGATAAGTTATTTCCGATGGCCAAGATTCCCCATCTAGCGAACTGTGATAATAGCACCAGCCTGATAGTGTAGCTGTGGTGAGTAAACAGGAGATCTGGGCACAGGGGCTGGCACTGTGAAGGCACTATAAATGCTAGCTAGACCCTTCAGTCAGTCAACAAATAGCTTTTTTTTTTTTTTGGCGGTACGCGGGCCTCTCACTGTTGTGGCCTCTCCCGTTGTGGAGCACAGGCTCCGGACGCGCAGGCTCAGCGGCCATGGCTCACGGGCATAACCGCTCCGCGGCATGTGGGATCCTCCCGGACCGGGGCACGAACCCGTGTCCCCTGCATCGGCAAGCGGACTCTGAACCACTGTGCCACCAGGGAAGCCCAACAAATAGCTATTTTGTACCTCATATGTGCAGGGTAAGATAGTGCAGGGATTGCAGGGATAAGGACACAGAAAGGTGGGAATAAATCACGATTTCTCAGTCTCCAGGAAAAGCTGGCAATCTTTAAGAATCCTATAATTTAACAGCCATTGCCGGTACCAGAGGAATGATTCTTTCCTTGGACAAGGCATGATAACGTCTTAGAGCAGGAAGTGAATCCTTCTCCTTCCAAAGAGGACTTCTATTTTTAAAATCAATACTGTAAATTGTATTATATATTAATAACACACTATGTTAATAAATTATAAAGTGCCTCTGGTTTCTCTCCAGCACTTTCATCCTCTCTGTTCATAATGGCATATTACTGACCCTCCCGAATGAGTCACTTGAATGATAACGTCGTTGTGCAAAGATAAAGCAATGTCTCTCTGGAGGAAAATTTAAGTGTCTACTACAGCTACACACAATAATAATGATGAATCTCTGAAATACAATGTTAGATAAAGGAGCCAGACATAAAGGAATGCATGTCGTCCATGATCCCATTCAGATGAGGACCAAAAGCAGGCAAAACTAATCGATGGAATGAGGGTGGGAGCATGGTTATCCTTGGAAGCGGGCAGAGGATACAACAATTAGAAGTGGGCTCAGTGCGGCTTCTGAGGTTCAGGTAATATTCTGTGTGCTGGTTACATGGTGTGTTCAGTTTCTGAAATTCATTGAATTATACACTAATATATATGTCATAAAAAGTTTCATATATAGGGCTTCCCTGGTGGCGCAGTGGTTGAGAGTCCGCCTGCCGATGCAGGGCATGCGGGTTCGTGCCCCGGTCCGGGAAGATCCCACATGATCTCAGCGGCTGGGCCCGTGAGCCATGGCCGCTGAGCCTGCGCGTCCGGAGGCTGTGCTCCGCAACGGGAGAGGCCACAACGGTGAGAGGCCCATGTACCGCAAAAAAACAAAAAACAAAAAAAAAGAAATTTTCATATAAAGTTTAAAAATTAATCTATTTTTAGTTTTTAACTCAGCTCCCCTCCAAAAGCATTCCCCCCCCCTTTTTTTTTAAGCTATATTTAATGAACCTCTACAAAAAAACTCTCCTATACAAATGCCTCAGGTTTGACTCTACCTGGAATTCACAGAGCTGACTTAGAAGATTTACTACACAAGTATCTAATTTTAGTTCTGGAAAGAGTATCAGAGCAGTCTGTTTCTGGAAAGGAATTCAGAATTCACCTAGCTGAGACCCTTATTCTACAGATGTAGAAAGAGGCCCAACGTGTTCTAGGGGATGGGTCAAGGTCATCTGGCTGTTTGGTGGGACTCCTACTCTTTCTACCAGGCCACAATGCTGGCCTCCTGGGAATTGATCTCCTTGGAAGTAAACTGTTTTGAGTTCGTCAGGTGAAATAAATCAACAAACTCAAAATGCTATTATAGAATTTTCAAAATTTCTGCAAACCCATTCTTGAGCTTTGCCAACTTCTAGGGTAGGGCCTAAGTGGTGTATAAGATATGGTCAAAGTTAAGTTAGTCATGGCACTGGGTGACTGGTTAATATGTGCTGTGACTTGGGCCTCTGATCAAAATAAACCATGCTTTTCCACTGAAAAGAGCTTGTACTCAGCTCCCAGATGACGGCAGGAAAGGGCACAACGAAGGGTGATTCCAGTAACCATCCTGAAAAGAGAATATGGCTCAGGAAGAACTTACTACAGACCTGGCGCCACTGAAAAGACTGCTTTCCATTGTCCATATTCCAAGCCTGGAATACGTTTCCTCAAGGCTGAATATATATTTCCTAATAGGAGAAGAAGTGTTATGGTATTTAAAATAGTAACCACTCCTACTGCCTTCTGCATAAACTAGAGAACATCCTGCTGGGTCATGACGTCTCTGGGATTACTGATTAAAGAGGGAAATCTATAGATTTTGAAACCCTTACTCATTATATATAAAAGTCATTTTTATCTTTTTCAGCTGGAACTTCTCTTCATCTTCTGGTGCAAGTTGGGTTGCTTCAATGCTGTCTACGTCAACAGCAAAGATGAATAGCCACTGGTTCTTAGCAAAATTTCAAGGTGCTAAGGATGGCTTGTGAGATAGCATCCATTACAAAGAAAACTATTTGCTAGCATTTAAACAGTAAAATCTAGACCTTGACACTAGATAACCACTCATTAACGATTACCCCAGGTTCATGTTTTGTGGTTGTACTCTGATGTAAATGGCAACCCCTAGGGTTGAACAGTACATAAGCTACATGACTGAATGCCATGGCCCCGCTTGTACCACTCCAAGAAATTATTCTGGATCTCTTCAATTTCATTAAATAGTACAAGTATCATATTTTTTAAAATGTAGACCATCGGTGCAATCTTGAATGGTAATAAATGATAAATCTAACTTCATCTAGGTATAGAATAAAGTTTAAAAGGAGGGAAATAGCTTGATACCACTGCAGAGCAGGTCTGGGTGAGGGTCATTCTGTGCTACCACAGGTTAACTGATGTAATCTGATTATACCATGGCTGCAATGATGTATGCAATTATCAATATTTTAGACCTGAGTAACAAGAGGTGTGATAATTGCTCCCTAAGTGTTTTAGAAAATGTTATGCCTTTGAGATATTCACACTGATTTATAAGTGTTGGCTAACAAGACTAGCACAAGGAGGACTTCCCTGGTGGCGCAGCAGTTAAGAATCTGCCTGCCTGTGCAGGGGACACGGGTTCGAGCCCTGGTCCTGGAAGATCCCACGTGCCGCGGAGCAACTAAGCCCGTGCGCCACAACTACCGAGCCTGCGCTCTAGAGCCCGCGAGACACAACTACTGAGCCCGCACGCCACAACTACTTAAGCCCGTGCACCTAGAGCCCGTGCTCCGCAACAAGAGAAGCCACTGCAATGAGAAGCCCGCGCACCGCAACAACTCCTAAGGAACTTATTACAAATTGGAAGACAAGCTCAAAGCCCGCTTGGGGGCTGACCTTGTTAATGTTTTAGTAGCATGTATTACTGCTCAGTCTCAGGTTTCATTAACTGCATCACAGGGGCACTGGACAATGAAGTGATCGGATCTGAGGAGGGATGGTCTCTTCTAGAGACCATGCTTCATTAGCTATTTCTTCAGTTTTTGTGACTTAACTTCCCTAGAAACTAAACTCCTTGATATCAAGGATTGGGTCATTTATGTCTCTCGCATCCCCAAAGCCAGAGGCAGAATTCTTTCTCCATGGAGGGGCTAAAAAAATAACTCTCTACTGATATGTTTGGCTCAGAAGGGGGAGGCAGAGGCATTGGCAATGACCTGAGTGAGGGACAAGGCAGATGCACGCTGGGGAAAGGAAATTGTGTGCCCACCCAGGACAGAGAGCACTGCTGACAACCTGACTTGTATCTTCAAGAATATTCCATCATGCTTCACTTCAAAACCAAAACATCAGTACAGCTCTTAGCTCAAAGATGACAGTCACTTCACACTATGATATCCCCTCATGTGAAATACAGACATAAAGATAAAGAGGTGCAA